TTTTAGTCATCCGCATCCCCTGCTCCTCGTGGAAGATAAGAGCGACCAAGTCAGGGAGGCTTATTGCTCAGGATGCAGGGAACTCATACAGGATTTAAGTTACAGATGTGCCAATTGCAAATTTTTCCTTCACAAGACGTGTGCTGAGCTACCCAGGGAGTTGGATCATCCTTTTCATCCCCAACATCCTCTCGTTCTTTATGATAAGCCGCGATACGACTCTGTTGGTGTTTTGTTTAAGTGCAATTCCTGTCGAAAGCAAAAAGGTGAGGGATTTGTTTATCATTGTTCTGCTTGTGAATTTGACCTTGACATACAATGTGCTCTGTTACCAAAATTGATTACTGGAAATTTCCCTAAGCTTCAACATTTTAGCCATCAGGATTCACTTTTGTTCATTGAGAAGCATTACATTGAAGGTGCCGATCAGTCTTGTTCAGCATGTGAAGATCCGATTTCAGGTCCTATTTATTGTTGTTTTGATTGTGAATTTTACCTTCATAAAAAATGCACTGAGCTTCCTCTTGTGATAAATCACCCTAGCCACCGCAAACACTCTCTTACTCTTAAGCCCACGCCACCTTCCAGCCACTCCAAACACTCCCTTTCTCTTCAAGCCAATTATCCACATGAAAAGGGCTGTTCTTGCCATTTATGCAGCAAACTCCCAAAAGGATTTGTTTATTACTGTTCTCCTTGCGAATTCAGCATTCGGATCAAATATACTTTCTCTCATTTATTTGAAGCAAAGACTCATGAACATCCATTCACTCTCCTACCAAGGCCAATGTCATTCATCTGTGATGCATGTGGTACTTGTGGGGAGTATTGCATGCCTTACATATGCACCATACGTAATCTTGTAGTGCATAAGGATTGCATTTCCCTTCCACAAACCATCAAGTTAAGAAAGCATGAGCACTCAATTTTCCATATTTATTTCCTTAAAGAAAATGAAGTAAGAAAGAGGATCTGCAGAATTTGTCGGAAAGAAGTGAATGTGGAATATGGGAGCTACCATTGCTTAGATTGTGATGATTACTTTGTTCATGTGAATTGTGCAAGAGACAAAACACTTTGGGACGACGAGATTTTAGAGACGGAGGAATTGAATCAGAAGTCCAGTGAAACCTTGGGAGAAGGAGAAATTAAACACTTCAGCCATGACCACAAGTTGCTATTAAGTGACGAGATTGAAAATTGTGAATATTATTGTGACGGTTGCAGGAGATCAATCTCAACTGCATTTTACCATTGTGCTGAATGTAATTACTTTCTTCATAAATGTTGTGCCGAATTACCTAGAAAGAAGAAACACTGGAACGTTAAGAAGACCCGAACTCTCAACTTTGAACCCATTTTTTGGTGTTATTTTTGTGGGTTTTATTGCAGCGGGTTTTGCTACGTTAACAATGATGACAGATTACCAAGTATCTGCTTTAGATGCTTTGAAATTCCAGACTACTTCACTGCTCATGGACACGAGCACCCTCTTTTCTTTGACCACAAGTTTACAAGGGAGTGTAGTATTTGTAATGAAAAATATGGACGATTCAGGTGTGAAGATAATTGTGAATTTGTTTTGTGTCGCCGATGTATTGCGCTACCAGAAACGGCCTGGTACAAGCATAATGGGTACAAGCATGATGAACATCCTCTTGCACTCACTTACGATGATGATGTTCATGATTTGTATCAACGTTTTTGTGACATATGTGAAGAATCAAGAGATCCGCAAAAGTGGTTTTATTACTGTGCAACTTGTGATTTTTCTTGCCATCCCCTTTGTGCTCTGGGGAACTATCCAAACGTGAAGTTGGGGTCAGCTGCCCAGCTTGCAATTCATGAACACCCTCTCACGTTCATGAAGGACAATCTTGGCTATCACAAATGCAGTAAGTGTGGCAAGAGTTGCAAAGATGCGTTCTACAAATGTGTAGAGTCAGAATGCAAGTATGTTGTCCACCATTTATGCTAATAATTTCTGCTTCAAATATATAGACGCTGGCTGTGAAGAATTGATAGTCATATTAATTGCTCTTTGATATTGATGGGAATCCCACAAGCAAGCCAAAAGTTGGTAAAACCACTTGGTTCCTATTTTTTAGTATCCGTTTCATTTCTATGATGCTTTATAGTAGTTTGGATTCTGGTTTGTTTTAACCAAACATCGGATGGTTGTTTTCTTCATTCCTTGAAATAATCAGAATGCTCTTTCAAGATATGTCCAAAAAATTTAACTGTTACTTACAGTGATGAATGAAATATAATTCTAGATGCTGTTTATGTGCAGTTGTTTATATATGCTTGTGCATTAGCATTACGAAGGACTAGATTACCATTTACACTTTTGCTCCCGTTTGCTAAACTCATTACTGTTCATTGCCTACTTGCCATTGCTTCTACCCGCAATTGGAAATTATATCAATTGGATGTCCATAATGTCTTTCCTTCATGGTGACCTCAATGTAGTGTACGTGCAATTACCACCTAACTATGGGAATCAAGGAGAAAAATGAGTTTGTAGCTTAAAAAAATCCCTTTACACACTAAAACAAGCTTCACACAATTGGTTTGCTAAATTTTCTTCTGCTTTAAGACTTTTTCGATTCAAACAAGCTGCATATGATTATTCCTTTTTCACTTATCGGTGTAAGAATAATTTCCTCACTGTATTAGTATATGTTGATGATTTAATTGTTATACGAAATAGTTCATCTCTTTATCAGCAATTGAAGGATTTTCTCAATGCCCAATTTCACATCAAAGACCTTAGCAAACTCAAATATTTTCTTGATATTGAAGTCGCTTGACATCCTTCAAGAATTTTCCCCTGCCAACAAAAATACACACTTAATATCTTGAATGACTCTGGAATGCTTGGTGCCAAGCCATGTTCATTTCCCATGGAGCAAAAGCTTAAACTCACCTATGACGTCGAGCGTCCTCTTTCAAACCTCACGGAATATGGATGACCAGCTGTTGGACGCCTCATATACTTGACTATAAGACGCCCTAAAATCTCTGATGTGGTTCACACTCTAAGTCAATTCATGCAAACTCCTCAACAACCACATCTCAATGCAGAAATACATATCTTATGGTACTTAAAATCTTCATCCGAGCACGGTCTCTTTCTTCCCTCCTCAAGCCATTTACAACTATTAGCCTATTGTGATTTAGATTGGGCCAACTGTCCTATGACTTGAAGATTAAGCATCATAATGGTTATTGACAGTTAGAGACGTAGGGGAATAAAAATAGGAAATTTGATAGAAATAGTTAGGGAATAAACCAATAGGTCTCCTCTTGTAGAGTTGAAGTTGAAGAATGAAGATTACTTGAGATAGAAGGTTGAAAGCAAAATACTTTAACGGTAGAATGAACTTTAAAATTTTAGAAAAACTTTCTCTAAATATCCCACAAACTAAAAAATACATCAATATTCATGGGAACTTGGTTCGGGGTAAGGTTCATCCTAAGAAATTTAGCTTCCAAGGCAAATAAGAACTAAATCTGCAATTATTTCAGAACCAAAATAGCTGTAAGCAAAATGAAAAAATTCCTAGAAACTAATATAAAAGCCAAACCAACACTCATACTGTGAAACCATAACATACATTGAACACAAAAGTAGGAAAAAAAAAGAAAGAAAGAGAAATCTGACATGATTTATATGAAGCTATATATGATTCACTGATCACAATGTGATACCTTTGTTTTGCATGAGAAGCAATAATTGAACAAAACCGATCATTGAATTACCTGCCATCCCAAAATCATGTATTATGAAGTCAAAAGTTAAATAGAGTTCATGGGCTGAAAATATCACCTAGCAAAATGTTTGATTGGCTTGAAAAAGAAATGCCTACCATGCATTGTTAAGTCGAAATAATGTGCGCAATTTTCCATGGAAAGTAGAAATACACAATTGTTTTGCATTGGGACTGGGTCAAGTTGTAATGACGTGGTAGTAATTCTAACTTGATATTAAGCCATTGTAGATTTGACGCTCAATAACTTTGCAATTGTAGACCAACCAATTGTATAAATAATATGAAAATTATAATTCTAACAAGTTTCCTTACTAAGGAAACAAGAGAAAAGAGAAAAACACAACACTTCAAAAATTCGAACGGATTATTTGTCACATTGTTGCTGTCCCTTAACAAAAACTTGAGTCGAGTTTTCAATGTATCAAAGTTATTCAATTTATGTAATTTTAGTGTAATAAATATCTTAAGGCATTAAGGTGCAACGATATAGGTTCAGATCAGGTGGTAAGAAGTCATTTCAAACATTCAGGAAGTCACTCGAGTGTTTCCGTTAGTCTTTTTAATATTCTTTAAAGTATATTCTTTGCAAAATGGTTTCAGAAAGACCTTGGTTGTTCTGGTGGCAAAAGAATTGTTAAAATATTGCGAATTTTGCGAATTTTGTCCTAAAAATTGGCTCGGTCGGTTGTTGCCTTGTTGGTTTAAATGGTTTAACCTCTAAAATAATTTTAAATATTTATCCGAACAGTTTCTATTACCACGTGCTGGTCCAACTGATTCAATCTATCAGTCTCATCTGATTTTCAAACCAATGGGATTGGACCGATTGGAAGCCAGCCATTAATTAATTTATTTATTTATTTATTAAATAAATGTACTAGAGCCAGCACATCCACAGGCTTACAGTTTACAACCTTTCCAGGTGTAAAATTCTTTTACGCTACTAACGAAATTAAACCACTGTAACAACCGACGGCTCCCACAACCAACATTATATAAAAGACGAACATTGACTAGTAAGGTACAGATAACCAGACCCTTAAGAAGCATCCTATCTTAATTCCTTTCATCTCTTCTAGGCTTCTAGCTAGCAGTCCGTTTAGCAGTCATGGCCGAGAAGGAGAAGGTTTGTGCTGATTAAATACACCATTTCATTTTTCCTTTTTTTCTTTTTTTAAAAAGGATAGTATTTTGTATTTTAGTTGATGCATCGGCATGGCTCCCTAATTAATTTTGCTCATCTTATCTGCTCTTCTTCTAAGTCAGAACCTGAATCTTCTTCTTCCAAACAATCCTCTTTCCGATGCTTCCTTCTCTTCTAATATATACGAATCTAAACATATATATATATATATAAAAATGATTGGTATATCTTGATTCAACGTATTTTTTGATATATTTTTTATTTAATGATTAAAAAT